TATAAATATATACATAAACCTTATACATGAAACATACAATATAAATATATACATAAACCTTATACATGAAACATACAGTATAAATATATACATAAACCTACATGAAAATACAATATAAATATATAAATAAACCTTATACATGAAACATACAATATAAATATATACATAAACCTTTTACATGAAACATACAGTATAAATATATACATAAATCTACATGAAAATACAGTATAAATATATACATAAACCTTATATATGAAACATACAGTATAAATATATACATAAACCTACATGAAACATACAGTATAAATATATACATAACCTACATGAAACATACAATATAAATATAGCGAAGGTTTATGAATGATAAAAATAAAAAAAAATGTGTTTTAAAGGTTTTTAATTTTGTAAAAAATTTAAATTCTTGAAAATCCGCGAATTTTTTTTTTAAGTTTGCAAAATTTTTTCTTCTTTGTTTTAAAATGTAAACAAAAAGAACATGTTCACAATTTAAATAGAAGATGGACGCGAAGCGCCCTAAAAGCCTAGTATAAATATAAACATAAACCTACATGAAACATACTATATTAATATATACATAAACCTACATGAAACATGTAATATAAATATATTCATAAACCTACATGAAACATACAATATAAATATATACATAAACCTTATACATGAAACATACAATATAAATATATACATAAACCTAATACATGAAATATACAATATAAATATATACATAAACCTACATGAAACATACAAAATAAATATATACATAAACCTACATGAAACATACAATATAAATATATACATAAACCTACATGAAACATAAAATATAAATAAATACATAAACCTACATGAAACATAAAATATAAATAAATACATAAACCTACATGAAACATCCTATATAAATATATACATAAACCTACATGAAATATACAATACAAATAAATACTAAAACCATATAAATACTAATACATACATAAACTTGACGTAAAATGATATATATATATATATAACAAAAGTTATTGAATGCCAAAACGTTCAAAATGACAATAGTTCTAAAATATGTTTTTTAATAATTTCATATTAACATGATTAAAATTATATTTGTTTTAATGCTCTAAAAGCCGGCTCGTGAATAGCTGACTTTAATATTAGTCCGATCGATATAGCATTGTATCTGTAATTGTTATCAAACGTAACTTTTATACAGTAATAATAACCTAAAAGAGGATTATAAGAAGAAAATCAAAAGTGTGTACATTGGATAATCAGATTAAGCGATCGTGATTAAGGATTCTAAAGTTTTCAGCTCTGACTAACTAACTGACAGTGTTTGTAGTCCTAGGTTTAACTTTATATATAAAGCTGTTCTCAACGATTTTTACGTGAGAGCTTGCAACTTTTGAATTGCTGTGAGCCTGTGAATGACTTTACTGAAGATGACAAATGATAAACGTTAAAATTTAGAATTTGCATAGAATATTGTAATCTGATGAAAAGTAGATTGATATTTTAATCTTAAAAGATTCCCCCTCTAAATTTAAATAACACCAGATGTTTATTAATAAAACCTGTTGGATATATATATTTGAATTTTTAACAAATAAAGCTATTGTTATTGTTTTTCATGATATATAAATATTTAAAATATTTATAAAAAAATATCTCTGAATTTTGAGAAAATATATTAAAATA